CAGCTTCCCAGGGCCACCCCTCCCCTCCAGAGCACTTCTCTGGATCCCTTCCCCACGGTTCTTAGATCCCCTTTGAACAAGCTGTTTGGATGAAAGACACTGAGAACAACCGCACAACTGCCTTGCCAGGGAGGGAGCCCCTGGCCCTGGGCTCCTTTAAGGAGTGGGGCAGGGAGCTAGTGGCCTGGGGCTGACGCTGACAAGGGCTGGGCAGCCCTGGGGAATGGAATCCTCCCTCTGCCTGGGGACCAGGTAGGATCCAGGCAGCAGCCAGGGTGCCACCCCCGCTGGCCCCTGCTGGAGGGATGCTCAGGAGATTAGTCTGCCTGGAATATGCAGCCGTAAAATCTGCCATGGAATTTTACTGTGTGTTTAAATTAACCCTTGGAGTGCTGGCAGTTTCCGGACTGCTGCCGGCTGAGCACTGTGGGAGCCTGTGACTGTAGGTATTCATAGTGAAAGCCCGGCATGGCCTCTAGACCCTGAGCACTTGGGCTACTGCTTTCTGCCCTATGTCTCTGCCTGGTGTTTACACTTGGCCAGGGTGGGGCAGCTCTGCCTAGACCCCTAGGGCTGCTTTCTTGCGTCCGTTGCCCATGGTTGTTGCTGGGCTGGAGAATAGGTCCCTTTGACTGGTGGCTGGCAGGGCCCATGGTTATTGGCTTTGCCCTGGGCTGGAGGTTTGTCTTAAGAGGCGACAGCTGTTTGGGCTTTGCCCAGCGGGGTTTTGGTTTTTTTTGTACTTTTTGTATGACACCAGAGATGCTCTGGCTGGGATTTTCAAAGGCGCCCAGGGAAGTTAGGCACCTCCAGTAAATGATCTCCAGTAAATGTCAGGGAGAGTTGGGTGCCTAGCACCCACTGGTTCCTTTGAAAATCTGCCCCATTGTCAATAACCTGAATACCGCTCAGTCTACAGAGGGCCCTGCGTTCACCAAAGGGTCAATGCTGTGACTGAGCTGTGTTAGCAGACGTATGTGTGTGGAATTTGTCAGGCAGGAAGTTTGTGTGGTGCCCTTACACCAAAGGGAACCAGGGAGCGATTAGCTTGATGACCAAAGCTAACTTTACTCTTTATCTCCTGGGGCTTTAGACCCTCTGTGCTGACTGCTGCCTTTCGAGCCAGGAGGGAGGCATTGTGCATTGGCCTCTGTCTTGTATTGGGGAAGCAGTGTGGTCTAGTGGCTAGCACAGTGGACTGGGGCTTGGGAGAGTTGGGTTCTAGTCCCAGTTCTACCACTGGCCTGCTGGGGTAAATTGCTGTCCTTCTCTGTGCCTTAGTTTCTCAATCTGCAAAGTAGGGCTAATGATCGTGACCGCCTTTGTAAAGCTCTTTGAGATCTATGGATGAGAAGCACTAGATAAGAGCTATGTATTCTTCTTCTTCTTCAGTGGAAGCTGGAGAGCTGTCCTCTTAGGCAGTGTCTAGACTGGACTCTCCCATCATCACAGTGGTGTGGACTAGGGCGGACACATTGGTATGTCCGTGTCTGTGGTATTTGACCCTGCTCAGAGCAGGTCTAGCTGACCTGCAGGTTAAATCATGGGTGACCACCTGTGCCCTGGCTGCTCTAATGCCCCCTACTGCTTGGAACCACCACGGGAGCTGCGCCAGTGGGAAACCTCCCGGAAGAGGCTAGTGTAAATGTGCCTTGGAGGAGAATCTGGTGTAAAGGTCCTGGTGCCATCACTGGGAGGGCTGAGTCACTATGGTGATAAACCTGGGGAAATGTCAGCGAAAGGAAACCAAATCTGAAGATGGGACAAAGACACGGGTGAGCGGGGAGGGGGACATAGGGCAGCCAGAGACAGTCATTTAGAGGCCAGCTCAGGGGCTTGGGAGCTCTGACTTCTATCTCTGACTCTGTCCCCTAGCTGTGGGGACGGGTGACCTTGGGCATTGGTTCCCCATTGGAATAGTTGTGACCAGGCTCCGGGGGCGCTGCGGTGTGAGGACGCATTGTTCATCCACGTGTGTAAAGCGCCAAACGCCTTCATGGCTCTAGCTAGCGTTCGGAAGTGCTGAGAGACCCTCCGGAGGTTGGGGCTTTGAGTCTGCTCGGGATCAGCCCTTCTGCTTGGGATCAGCTCTGCAGAGGTGGGCTGGAGACCCCATGTTCCTCGGCCAGCTGGGGGACCCTGAGCCTTTCCCGTGGGGTTTGGCACACCTCTCGCGCACCCGTCCAGCATAGGAAGAGCAGGGGTAGCACAGGAAGGGTGGGGTAGCGAACTACTTGGGACTTCCCCAACACTTCGGGCTTGGCTCGTTTGCCCCTGCTTTGGGAATCCAGAGTGGTTCTGCCCAGGGTGTCTCTGGGTGAGAGGGTGGGATGCAGGGAACAGAGGTTGGACACTGGACTGGAAGCCAGGACACCTGGGTTCTAATCTTGGCTCCCTAGGTGACCTTGGACCAGGCACATCCCCTCTCTGGGCCTCAGTTTCCCCCCTGTTTAAAGGGGATAATGACACCCCCCCCTTTGTAAAGTGCTCCCATAGGAATGAAAAGCCCCTCTCTACAAGCCAGGTTTCTCCAGCTCCGCAAGGCCTGCTTAGCACTTCACACCTGGCTGGGGGCCTGCAAAGCCCAAGATCCCAGTGTAGCGACAGACTAACTGCACGGAGGGGAAGCTGCACAATATGGACGAGCCCCACAAAGGCAAATGCCAACGCTGGGTTGCTCCTTGGAGTCAGGACCTCCCTCGAGCAGGAGATGAACTGGGTGGTGTGGAAGGAGGAGAGGGGGTGGCTGACCCAGAGAGAGGAGCAGGAGGAGATGGGGGTGGGTACGGAGCTGGGCAAGGCCTTCAAAGTGAAGAGGAGACTCTGAGCGAGTGGATGAAGCTAGGTAAGGTGGGACAAATGGTGCTCCAGGCTGGTGACTCTCTGGCTCTCTTCTCCTTGCTGTTTCCTTCCTCCCCATCCCACCTCCCCTGGCCACGCGGGACAGGTATGCTGCCCCAGCCCGGCAGGCAGCGGGGATGCCTCAGTCGCTCAGTGCTGGGATAATTCCGATACCGAGTGGGGAGATGCTGAATTTCCGATGACACGGCACCAGGATTGCTGTGCCATTGAAACCTGTTGGCTCTCTAGTAATGACATGCTACATAATTAGAAGCATGTTATCCAGCAGACATTCCAGTCCCAGGCCTGGAGAGCAAAGCCCCACATTAGGGCTTGTTATACAAAGCTGCAACCAAGTAGAAAATGACATGTTTCCAGGCTGCTTTTTCTGTCCTCCCAGAGCTGCCGGGGCCTGTCAACAACAGCACAGACACCAACACCTTGGCTCCCGTAGCTGGCTGTGGCTTAGAACTTGCTGCCTGCTGGTCATTTCTTTTGCAAACTTTCCTGTGCACCAGAATAAATCAGGGACGTGGATTTGAATTCCAGCTGCAGGGCAATCAACACGCAGGTCCCTCCCCTGTCACGGAGTCCTCATTTGGATCTCCTCCCCCATCCCATTGCAAGCCTCCATCTCAGGGTCTGATTGAAACAGATGCCCTGTTGCCCCTCAGTTGTGTCACCATTTCCACCTGTGCAGTGCAAGTGTGAAACACTAGGGGGCAGCATCTCACCCTGCTCTGCTCTGGTGTAACTGCACGCACGAGGGGCAGAGTGACAGTGAATTGGGCCCAGGAAGCCTGGTCCTCCCCTTACCTACACCTGGGAAAACTGGGAAGTCAGCGGAGCAGCCCGGGTGTGAAACCAGCATGAGACTGGAATCGGGCCCTTAGCATTCACACGCATGCCAGCCCTCTGCTGAGCCCGCTGTGTGGGGGAGGGGGGTTGGGGTGGCTGGTCGGTATTTATAGGGCTGGAGAAAGAAGAGCCTGTTCTCTCCCCTGCGCTGGGCTGTGCCCAGCAAAACCACATCTGGGCAAGGCAGGGCCTGCGGCGGGGCTCGCCCTCTCTCATTACAGCAGCTCTTTGAAACGCGAAGCCCGCAGCCGATTGGATCCCATGCAGATCTGCAGATATAAGGGGACCCGGCTGGCGCAGGCTTGCTAGCTGCCTGCCCGGCTGGCCCTGCATCCCGGGGGCCCTGGCCGCGAGTGCAGGGGAAGCGCGTTTACTGAATGTGCGGGAGAAGTGAGACGCGGGCAGACTGTGATCTCCCCGAGCATGGAAGGACTGAACCCCGGTGCAGGGAGTCCTCCCACTAGGAGCAGTGGGGTGGGGACTGGGAGCTGGCTAGGAACAATCCCTCCTGCCAGCGAGCCCCAGGAAGCTGTTGCAAGATCCCAGCAGGCAAAGGTGTGAGGGGAGCAGGGGCCCTGCAATCTGACGTGTGCTGCTCACCCTGTCTGCCGGGTTATGCTGTTTTAAGAGGGGTTGAATCGATTTGATCCACCCCCGTCCCCAGGGAGCTCTCGGTCCTCTTCGGGGCCGTGTAAGGGGGTGTCTACACCGCAAAGGGGGGTGAGCGTACCTGTGTTAGCATTACTCTAGCTAGCACTGGTAACAATAGCAGAGCAGACCTGGTGGCAAGGGCTTCAGCGTAGGCAGGCAGCCCATGGGTTCTGTGGCCGGCTTGTCCTGGAGCCACTAGCCCACGCCGCCATCTTTGTGCTCCTGTTGTGATCCGTGCTGGCTAGTTCCGGGGTGCTCCTACCTGCAGGGCAATCCCCCTCTTCCCTTGCAGCGTAGCGGGATCCCTAATCCACCCTTTGGCTTTCTGCCCGGGCACATGGACGACAGTCCCCACTCTGGCCTTGCCCCTTCCTTTCCCTCTGACGCAGAGCTGCTGCTCTTCAGGGCGCTCTGGCGCTTCGGGCCAAGCTGTGCCCCACAGCTGGGGGGCCCGGGATTCCCGCCCCCGCAGCGGATGGAGCTGAGCGAGGCGGAGGAGGGTCCGGCCTAGCTTGGTGCATCTCTGGTGCTGATGCCTGGCTGGGAGGGTTTGTTGCGTAGGGCATCTCTCTCAACCTGCATACACCCCCCTTCCCACCCCATGTCACTTCTCACGCTCTCACCCACCCCTTCTCTTCTAGGCACGCAGGGAGGGGTCGGGGCCCTTCCAAAGTGGGCGGCATGGCAGACTCCGACGACCCCCCCCGGCTCCTCGTCGGGGAGGCCGGCGAGGCCCAAGGCGAAGAGGGCTCCCCTCAGAATGACGCTTTCCCCCTCTCGTCTCTGGCCAACCTGTTTGAGAACGAGGATAGCCCCTGCCCCACTGAGGCGGCCCAGCTCCCCCCCGGATCGGGGGACAGCAAGCAGCAAAACCTGCGTATGAAATTCCACGGGGCCTTCAAAAAGGGCGTGCCCAACCCCAGGGACCTGCTGGAGTCCACCATCTACGAGTCCTCTGTCGTCCCAGGGCCCAAGAAAGCCCCCATGGACTCGCTTTTCGATTACGGCACCTACCGCCAGCACCCCAGCGAGAACAAGCGCCGGCGGAAGAAGATCAGGGAGTGAGTATGGCACCCCGTCCCCTACGGGCAGCATGTCTGCTTATGCTGGCACCTCTCCGTGCCAAGGGCTCTGTGGGGCATCCAGCCACGAGATGCCAGCCAGGGTCAGGGGAGAGCTGGCTGGGGAAAGGAGAGAAGGAGGGCGGAACTGTGAATTGCTGTTTCAATTTTAAATGGTTTTACCTGCTGTAGAGGTGGCTGGGAAAAGGGAGCATTTTGCAAGCAAATGTCCAAAATTTTTCCATTTATTTTTCAAATTTCAGAATCTCCAAATGCAACATTTACTCAAAGTTTTGAAAAATATCAGCAGGCTCTAGCTTGGGGCATTTGCCTTTCGCAGCCTCACAATCCAGCGTCTCTCTGGGCCAATCCAATTTTTGAGCCTTTTCGCTCCTGATGTTTTGTTGCTGTTCAGGAAGTGCTGGAGAGAGCTTTGGGCTCCTGTTTCTATTATTTTTGGTGCTCAGGTGCCCTACCGAGCCATGTTTATTTCATTTTAATGCTACTTTTTACAAAAAATCCACATTTTTGTTGCAAATATTTGCCGTGGATTCGAACCTTCTTTGAGATGTTTGCTGTGAAAGCTGTTTATCTGAGCTGCTAGGATGGCAGGAAGCAAACACACTAAGAGAGTGGGACATGGAGAGGCAGGATGGGGTTGCTACCTTTGATATCACAGTCCCAGCGCTCAGCAAGGGCATTTCTGCCAACCTGGTAATTTCTCACAGGTGTCAGCTAGTAACAATCATGAGTATGTATAGCACTGGGCAGCTGCATGTGTGTAGCAGGCTCTGTAGTGCTTATGTTGAATGTGCTCGCTTAACGCCACCTGCTTGTGTCTGGTTGAATGTTTTCCACGGTCACTTACAAAGAAGAGGGGCACTGGGGTTACAGGGATGCCAGCTTCCTAAAGGAGCCTTGCTGGGAGCTGGACAATAGCCAGGCCCCTCCAACCTGGCGCAAAGCAAACCTCTGCCCCAGGAGGGAAATGTAGCTGGGGCAGGCTGCAGAGCGAAGGGGCTCCCCAGGGGCAGAAGGTAGCAGTGAGTTGGGCAGACCGCTCAGAAGGTGGTAAGGCTCTTGTAGCGGGACTGGGAAGCTCCAGAAGCCCAAGGGACGATCAGAGGCAGGGGGATTTCCCCTCCCCTGTGTCCCAGGCAGGAGGAGTAGCTGGGATGCCCTTGGGTGCCCGTCAGTGCACTGCCTTTACCAGCCCGTGGTGCTCCCTCCCCAGGTGGGAGGTGCTCCAGGTGCTCCAGGCTGGTGTTAGGACGCACCTGCCTGACTTGTCCCTGAAGTAAGGAAGAGATGAGCCCTGATACCGGGGGGCGGAACCCCAGCGCCGAGACCAAAATGGGCTGGAGCCGTGTTCTGGAACGGACCTTGAACCCCGGCGCAGGCCGGCGGAGGTCACGCAGAGCTAGATCTGGGGGCTGCGAGCGAGCAGCGGGATGGGGGGTGGTCAGCAGGAGCAGGGAGCAGGGCTGTGTGGAACCGTCCCCTGAGCGAGCTACGTTGGAGGGCAGGGCGGGCAGCCAGGCCTGGGAGGTACTGGCACTCGCCAGGGCTGCTGGCTGCCAATTCCCCTCTCGCGCGCTGCCCTGAAAGAGGGCTCTGTGCTGGGCTGTCTCACCTCTGCCTTGTGCAGCCTGCCTTTCCTCGCTGGGAGTGGCAAGCCGGGCTCCGGCATGAATGGGCTTTTCAGGAGTGCTCCCTGCCCCCTCCCTGCCAGGCTGGGCCAGGAAATGATCCCGGGGGACATGGAGGCCCGGCCCGCCCCAGAACAGGCAGTGGGGGACAATGCACCGGTCTGTCCTGGAGAAACTCCCCGCGCTGTGGGGCTGGCCACGCCATAGGCTGGAGAGACTCCGGCTCCGCTCCCCGGGGCTCCCAGCAAGAGCTGCTCCCTGGGGTATTTCAGACAGCTCCTGCCCTGCTGGGATCCTGCACTCCACTGTCCTTCCCAGGGTGATGACCACACAGGAGACCTCAGGTGCTGAGGACTGACAGGGACCCAGGACTGCTTAGAGCAAAGGGGCTGGGGGGCAGGACCCAGGGTTCTGGTCCCTGCTCTGGGAGGCAGTGTCCTGATGCTCAGGCTGTCAGAATGCCACCCTTGGGTGGCCTAGGGCCAAACCCACACCTCTGGGTCTCACTGTCCCCACATGGCCTGTAGCAAAGGGATGACAACACTCTCGCTCGTGCGTGTGTGTGTGTGTCAGATCCTAGGGTAAAAGGGGCTAGGAGTTGGGGGGCATTGCCCAGGCCAGAGAACAGGTGAATCCGGGAAGCGGGGAAGGCAGGGATCGGAGGGGAAGAGACGCTTCCAGCAGGTTTCGTAGGCACTGTTGGTGGCTGGAGAGCTGTCATTGCGCACGGTGCTGTACGAAGCACAGAGGCCAACGCCGCTCTTCCAGATGCTGAGAACGAATTGCCCCCGGCTTCTCTCCCCCACGCTGGTTCCTTTATACGTGTGGGGTGGGGCAGGATCCCGGACCACCTGTAGCAGCCATGGTCCTGAGCCCCCGCAGCAGCCACGTGTGTGCGGAGCAGCGATTGGGGCTGTTGCTGTAGGACAGGGGTGTGTGCCTGGACGACCCTGTGACACAGTCACCTGCCTTGGATGGTGCTGGGGGTCTCGCCTTCCCCCGCCTGCTGGGATCACTTCCATTCCCAAGGGCTGGGGGGCCACGGCAGAGACCAGCGCTTGGAGGGGAGTGTGCGTTCATGTCGCCCCCACGGGCACAGTGTGGCACCATGCCACTGAGCCACGGGAGGAGCCCCCGGCCTGTATTGACTGTTTCCCCACCCCACCCCCCCGAGGTCTAACTGCCCCCCACCCGCTCTGCAGGGATATTAGCTACAACTGAAATCGGACCGGCAGGTCTAAAGGCCCCATCCTGCCCCCCCCTGGAGTTTGGCCTCTGACTTCCATAGGGGCAGGACCAAAAGCTTGTGGACGTTCTCCGGTAGGGCCTGGCCTGAGTGGGGTCTGTGCACCCAGGCTAGCTGCCAAATGAACCCAGACACCACTCCCCCACTGTCCCCTGAAGGTGGTCTGAGCTTTGCAACCTGGGTGCTGGGCCCCCTTCCGCCAGGTTAGGATTTGTCCCCAGAGCTTGGAGCAGCCTTGCAGAGGAAGACGCTTCCCCTTGTTCCTGGGGTGCGGCCCTGTGGGAAGCTCTTTGGGGCTGGGAGCGTGGCGGATTTGTTCATAAAGCGCCATGCCAAGGTTCTCATTGATACAAACAATCTGGTGATCTCCCTGCTAGGGAGGTTTTCCTGGCATTTAGCCACACTTTCCCTTCCCACATATCCCCCCGTCACTCTTATTTCTGGCCCCGCATGCCACCCGAATGGTCCCTCCCAAATAGCTGAGTTGTTTGCTTGTAACCTACCAGGAAGTGCAAGCAACTGCTGCTCGTGGTTTCTGAGGCTAGACCCCAGCCAGCCCGGGGCCGGGGCCCGGGTGAGGTTCGCTGTTTGTTTGGTTCTTGTGCCGGCAGCACTGGCTGGGCCGATCCAGCCATGCAGACCCCGCAGAGTGGGCAAGCTCGTTCCATTGCACAAAGGTCCCGGTTTGCTCCTCGCCAAGCGAGGTAGAAATTCCTTTAATGACGCCTTGTTCTGTAAGTGGCTGATTCGAGGGGGAACGCCTAGGTCAGGCTGCGTTTTCCCCTCCAGCTAGGCCTGGGGCTTAGCTGAAACCGGTTTGTTTAGATGTAACTAGCTGAGACAAGAGAGGTGCCCAAACCAGCCCGGCTTGTGTCCACAGAACTGGCCTGAGGGCCTGTATCCTCTGGAGAATGGCATTTAGCCATGCCCCAGCCTTCAGCAAGGGAGCTGGCCCACATCACCCCCACCCCATCTCTGAGCCTGTTTCCTCCTTTGTGAAATGTTGCTCACCTGTCTGCCCGGGCTAAAGGCATTAAGGTTTGCAAAGCCCCTTGGGCAGAAGGCACTCGGTGCTGGGGCAGATCTGCATCCCGAGGCCCGTTGGTGCTGGTCCTAGTGTAACCAGAGGAGGGCGCTGCAGTCTTATTACGCTTCCTTGCTCTGGGGAAGGACCTAATCCGTCAGCCCTCCCCTCTCTGGCCATCCGCCCGCTGCCACTGTAACTCGCACAGGGGGCAAGAAACCTGGCCCTGGACCCGAGCCCTGTCTCCTGCGTGGCCGCATGGAGCACGAACCACCTGGCTACCGGGCTGCCTCCCCAGCGTGAGCTGTGACTTCTCCACCCTGGGACTGTGTCTCTCTGGTGCCCTCTGGGGTCGGGGGCAGCAGGCTGCTGCGACAGCTGCTTTGCTTAGCCCGGTTGGCTGCAGCCTCTAAGCAGGAGTGGGTTACGGTAGCGTTCGGGGTCACATTCACCTAGCGCTTGTTTGCCAGGGGATTTCAAATAGCTCCTCACCCACCTTGTTGCTATCTTGTATTGGACCAACAAGCTCTCCTCCCCAGGGGCTGGGTCCGATGCAAGATATCACCTCACCCACCTGGTCTCTCTAATCTCCTGGGACCCACTGCCTGCGTGGGATTTCAAGGCAGCCAGTTCGGCGTGCAAAGCCAGCTAGAGTTACGTCTCCCTTGCAGTCCCCTCTCGGGGCTGGGATTCTTGGGCAGCTCCTGGAATGGAAGGGGAGGATTTTGGATTTGCTGACAGCAGCAGCGAGGAGCTGGACAGGGGCTGCGTGTATAGCGATGCTAAAATTATATGTGTCTTGGGAAATAATTGCATGCACCAGCGTCCAGGCTTGTTCTTTGGATCCTCTGTGATGCAAAGTCCTTGCCAAGCAGGTGTCGGCTGGCCTCTCTCAGAGCATGCAGGGTCCCCTGAGGGGCAGGTGGCCTCCAAAGCTGGGAGGCATTAGAAAATTCAAGTGCTGATGATCCTGGGCCCTGTGAAGTGAGGGGCAGGCCTGCAGGGCCAGGCATGAGGGGCGGGTTGAGCTGTATTAGACCTGCTTTGGTGCTGCTGTCAGGTTCTGGAAAGCTTAAGCTTTAATTTTTCTTCATATTTTAAATGTAAATGTCTAGCCTAATTTCTAATGTGACCTGGCACAGGGCTGCCTGTCTGAAACAGAAGCAACCCCCAGGAGAGGTGGGAATCGGCCCTTACCTCTCAATGGTGTGTGTTAATTCTGAAGCCTAATGACACCAGCTAACATGTCAGCATCGTTAACTATTGCACTGCTGATCAGTTTAGTAGAAACATCCGGCTATGACGGAATCAGTGGTGTAACGGGGGGAGCTTGAGTTCTGTTCCTTCCATAGGAAGTGAAATACTTTACACATGCGACCAAGTATTACTGCCTGCATTTTACAGATGGGGAAACTGAGGCGCAGAGCAGGGAAGCACCTTGTCCAAGAGAGTCAGTGGTAGAGCTCAGTCCCCCTGTCTTGACTCCCAGTCCAGTATGCTGTCTGCTGGATCACGCTGCCTCTTGTGCACCTGGGTAACCGCAATGCTGTGGGGCAGAGGAGAAGTCCAGGGCCAGGAGACCAGGTGGCCCACCCAAGCACCTGGAGCAGGCTGTAGTAAAGGAAGTGTCAGTGTAAGTGGCTGGCTCACGCACTGGCTCCTGGCCCTGTAGGCGTCAGGCCGGCGCTGGTGGCAGCTGCGCTCTGAGAGCCTGTTTGTAGAACCGGTGCCCCTTTTCCAGGAAGCAGACCCACAGCCCGAAGGCCCCGGCCCCCAACCCACCTCCAGTCCTCAAGGTGTTTAACCGGCCCATCCTCTTCGACATCGTGTCCCGGGGTTCGACTGCTGGCCTGGACGGGCTCCTCCCCTTCCTGCTGACCCACAAGAAGCGCCTGACCGACGAGGAGTTTCGAGGTGAGCTGCGAAAACGGGCAGAGCCCTGGCTCTAGGGCTTCCTGCCGGGGCGGGGGAGCTGAACATACCAGCTCAGGACAAGGGAGAAGAGGGGAAGCCAGTGGCTGTGCTGTGCAGGCCTGGTGCCCTTAGCGCAGAATCTAGACCGCGCCCCGTCCATTGGGCTGGGTGCTTCGTGTGCCGTCAGCACGGCGGAGCGTGTAGTGACGGTAAGTTGGGCGTGCGCCCTCAATTGTGCGTGCCCAGCTTGGCATCCCTGAGCCTGGCTGTGCGGCCTTTACCCGTGCCCCTGTGAGTGCATCGGGGCTGGTGGGTTCCCCTGAAGATCCGGCTGCCCTTCTGGGGAACCAGTGTCTCTTCCAGACAAGCAGGCTTGAGCCCCCATGCAACCCTCCCTGGGACAAGAAACGCTTCTGAACGCAGGTGTTCCTGGGCCAGGCACTCCTGGGGGCTTGTGGCTGGGACAGCAGCAGGTGAAGGTGGAGCCCCTGGAGGTGGGCACGTGCCTGCTCTGAGCTTCAGGCTGTTCCTGCCCACCCCGCTCCCTCTCTCACAGCCCCTCCGCTCCCCTGCAGAGCCCTCGACGGGGAAGACCTGCCTGCCCAAAGCGCTGCTCAATCTGAGTGGGGGCAAGAACGACACCATCCCCCTGCTCCTGGCCGTCGCGGACAAGACGGGCAACATGCGGGAGTTCATCAACTCGCCCTTCCGAGACGTCTACTACCGAGGTGGGGGCTGAGCTGTGACCCGGGACAGGGGTGGGATTCCTGGCCACGGCCAGCGCTGGGCGGGCTGCTGGGAGCTCAGCCGCGGCGGGGGCAGAGCCACGTTCACCCCCCCACCTGCCCTCCCCGCGGTGCGTCGGGGGCGTGGGCTGGGTGCTCGGGGCACTGACGGGCCTGCGTGTGGTTCCAGGTCAGACGGCGTTGCACATCGCCATCGAGCGTCGCTGCAAGCACTACGTGGAGCTGCTGGTGGAGAAGGGGGCGGACGTGCACGCCCAGGCTCGCGGCCGCTTCTTCCAGCCCAAGGACGAGGGCGGGTACTTCTACTTCGGTGAGTGGGGGGCGCTGCCCGGCCCTGCGCACGGGAAAGGCCACGTCCTCAGCTGATGGGGGCCCCGCTGGAAGAGCGGGTAGAGAAGCCACCTCCAGTGAGGGGGACGCCCCGATGGGGGGCTTGGTAATGAGCCAGACCTGCCCGCCCCTCGGCCCAGCTCCCGGCTGTGGGCGCCAGGAAGCATTCCTGTCTGCCTGCTGGCCTGGGAGATGGGCTCTGGGGTCTCACCAGCTCTGTGTCCCACAGACCACCCCAAAATGGACCCCTCCCACATGTCGGCAGGGGCCTAGAACTGACACGTCGCTGGAGAATGACCTGCCCTTCCGTGGTGGGTCCCTGGTGCAGGGCTGAGGCCAGCTGGCTGGGCGGGGAGGGGGAGGCTGGATGTCCCTGGCAGCCCCAGTGGGAAGGGGGGACCCCAAAGGCAACTCACAGGGGGCCCTCCCGGCTCAGCCACGGGAGCAGCAGCATGCTGCGCCTGGCCACACTGCGACCTCAGCTGGGTGCCCCTGCCCCACTGCACCCTTTGACGCCTCCAAGTGCAAGGGGGCGAGAACAGGAGGCTCGTGGGCATGACTGCTCCTGGCACCGTGTGGGACTGGCCAGGCTCCGGGGATGATGTGACTCTCCCCAGGGTGCCCCGCGCAGGGGGTGAGCGGCTCCCCCGGCTTGTTGGATGGTTGCCATGGTAAGCATTGGCACTCCTGTGTGGAGACACAACCCGTGCGCTGGTCCACACTGGTCTGTGTGGGATCGTCCTGCTGGGTCACGCAAACAGTCTCACGCAGTCGTGGTGTGCGTGCGGTCGCACACGTGTGCAATCCCTTACGCTCTCAGTGCCTTGCGCTCGTACACACCAGTCTGTGCAGGATCTCCCCGTTGGGTCACAAGAACAGTCTCACACGCAGTCACGTTGTGCGTGCCATCACACGTGTGCAATCCCATTACACACTCACGCTCCTGATTACGTCACCACTGTTCCCTCGCTGCCTGGGGGAGCAGAGCGGCTGCCTCTCCTCAGGCCTCTGGCCTGGCTCCCCCTAGCTGGCTGCCCGGTGCCCAGAGCCCGGTTCTGAGGGTGGCGGGGCCGAGAAAGGCTGACGTCTGTCGTGCTCTCTCCTGTGCCAGGCGAGCTGCCCCTCTCCCTCGCTGCCTGCACCAACCAGCCGCACATCGTCCACTACCTCACGGAGAACGCGCACAAGAAAGCAGACTTGCGGCGCCAGGACTCACGGGGCAACACGGTGCTGCACGCCTTGGTGGCCATCGCCGACAACACCCGGGAGAACACCAAGTTTGTCACCAAGGTGTACGACCTGCTGCTGATCAAGTGCGCCAAGCTCTTCCCCAACACCAACCTGGAGGCCCTGCTCAACAACGACGGCCTCTCGCCCCTCATGATGGCGGCCAAGATCGGCAAGATCGGGGTAAGGGCGTGTCATACCTGTCCCCCTCCAGCTGCTGCCGCAGGGAAAGGGCACAACCAGCTCTGCCAGCCTGTGGGCGAGGGACGCTCTTCCCCCACTGCCCCTGCAGCTCCCTCAGATGGCAGTGGCATCCCCCAGAAGGGCAGGAGATGCTGATCAGCATACGGCTCCTAGGCAGGGCTCCGTTCTGGGGTGACTGCGCAGTCTCCGTATTGGGGGGCAGTCTGTGTACACGACTTCCGCTCAGCGAGTGTGTATCCTTGTGCATCGATAACAACCCAGCACATCAGTCGAGCGCTCGGCTCACGGGGCTGGAAGCCCGGGACTGACCCCCAAGTCCCTGTAGGTCCAGCATATGAGCAAGAAAAGGTGGGTCAGGTAATATCTTTTATTGGACCAGCTTCTGTTGGAGAGAGGGACAAGCTTTCGAGCCGCTCTGAGCTCTTCTTCAGGGCTGGATGAGGGACCCAGAGGGTCCCACTAAATACAGGGTGGGACAGATTGTTACGCATAAGGGGTTAGTGCATATTGCGAGAAACCACTTCAAATGGAGGCAGGTGTCCTTTGAGGAGGAGGGCTGGCAGGGCAGCTGTGGGGTGAGGTTTGCCCTGGGCGCTGTGGGGTTTTGTTCTGTTAGCATTGTCCTGCAGGAGTTCATCTGAGTGCGCAGGGATTGTCTGGTTTCACCCGCATGGTTGTTGGGGTGCTCGACGCGCCGGATGACACACCACGTGTTGGGACAGGCATGTGCAGGACCCACGGGTGCTCACCCACCCACCCGCAGCAGGAGCTGGTTCCCCTGATTGCCCCAGGGTGCGCTGCTATGAGGGCTGGGGAGGGACTTGGGGCCTGGCTGGTTTGTGATTTGGTGACTGCCTCCCCCTAGCGGCCGGTCGCAGGTCTCCAGCGGGGGTGTGGGTGTTTAAGAAGCTGCCCTGGAACCTTGCAAGACAAACGGCTCTGTGGTGAAGAGGGGCCCTGATCTTGGGCATAAGTGTAGCAGCCCATTAACAGGCTCGGTTAATGAATCTCAGGTGTCTCGAGCGTGCACTGCCCTTCTCTTCTACCTCGTCCCCCTCCCCCAGCACCGCGCAGCTGGGACCGTGGCGGGGTGCGTGTGTGTGTCTCCAGTTAAAGACACGGGGATTGTGAATTAACAGGCGCTGTATGACGTTACTGCTATGGAAACAGTGGTGCAGCTGTGCCGGTCACTGCTGCACCTTTCCACCCAGGGAGCAGGCCTCGTGGGGTCTCACGGCACTCCCCAGCACCACCACCCCGGCCACTCTGGGGCAGCATCATGGGGGTCCCAGCCCATCATGGTCAAGCAGAAAAGTTACCCCAGGGCCTTGAGGAAATGAGGTGCTATCCAGGCCGGTAAAACAGGTGTGGGGTAGAGAGGAAGCGGGGGAAGAGCCTCCATCACACAGTAATTGCTGTGGGAATATTAAAGCCAAATCTTTCCATGCTGGCCCCTGATTCTGGCTGGCTGCCGCAGTTATCGGTGCTCAGTGTGGGACACTCTGGGCTGGCGTGTCAGATAGTCAGAGGCTCGGCCCCTCGGAAAACCTGGCCCAGAGTTGGGTGCCCAGAATCAGCAGCCACTGCTGAAAATATTGGCCTGGACTTAGAGCAAGTGGAACCCCCTGCACCCGGCTGCTCAGTGCAACAGAGAGAGCGGGGGGCTCTGAGCAGTGTGTCCCGGTGCCTGGTTACTCAGGGCTGCAGGGAAAGCCAGGGGCTCTGAGCAGAGAGCGGGGGGCTCTGAGCAGTGTGTCCCGGTGCCTGGTTGCTCAGGGCTGCAGGGAGAGCAGGGGGCTCTGAGCAGTGTGTCCTGGTGCCTGGTTACTCAGGGCTGCAGGGAAAGCCAGGGGCTCTGAGCAGAGAGCGGGGGGCTCTGAGCAGTGTGTCCCGGTGCCTGGTTGCTCAGGGCTGCAGGGAGAGCAGGGGGCTCTGAGCACCGTGTCCCGGTGCTCGGCAGTTCAGGGCTGCAGGGAGAGCAGGGGGCTCTGAGCAGAGAGTGGGGGCATCTGAGCAGCGTATCCCGGTGCCCGGCAGCTCAGGGCTGCAGGGAGAGCGGGGAGCTCTGAGCAGAGAGCGGGGGGCTCTGAGCAGTGTAACTTTCTATACACATCGTGCTGTGGGTGACCATCCTCCCCCATCCTCCAGATGTTCCAGCACATCATCCGCAGGGAGATCACGGATGAGGACGCCCGCCACCTCTCCCGAAAATTCAAGGACTGGGCTTATGGGCCCGTCTACTCTTCGCTCTACGACCTCTCCTCACTGGACACCTGTGGGGAGGAGGTGTCTGTCCTGGAGATCCTGGTGTACAACAGTAAGATCGAGGTGAGCGCTGAGATGGCACCAGGGAGGGAGGCAACAAATGGTTGGGCACGCAGCCTGGTGTGGGACTGGGCTGCCGAATGAGGGCCCATAGGCATGGCAGGCCCCTTGCAGGACCCAGCCCCCAATGCCTCGGCCATTGTGAAGATTTTGGGAGGATGCAGCCTGGTTCATGCACAGAGACGACCCAAGGTCAGGCACGGCCAGCGCCGCCCCGTCTCCATCCCCCGGCCGCGGGCACGGCCAGCGCCGCCCCGTCTCCATCCCCCGCCGCGCACGCCCGCGCCGCCCCGTCTCCATCCCCCGGCCGCGGGCACGGCCAGCGCCGCCCCGTCTCCATCCCCCGGCCGCGGGCACGGCCAGCGCCGCCCCGTCTCCATCCCCCCGGCCGCGGGCACGGCCAGCGCCGCCCCGTCTCCATCCCCCCGGCCGCGGGCACGGCCAGCGCCGCCCCGTCTCCATCCCCCCGGCCGCGGGCACGGCCCCCCGTCTCCATCCCCCGCGCCGCCCGCCCGTCTCCATCCCCCCGGCCGCGGGCACGGCCAGCGCCGCCCGTCTCCATCCCCCGGCCGCGGGCACGGCCAGCGCCGCCCCGTCTCCATCCCCCGCCGCCGCCCCGGGCACGGCGCCGCCCCGTCTCCATCCCCCGCCGCGGCCCACGCCCGTCTCCATCCCCCGGCCGCGGGCACGGCCAGCGCCGCCCCGTCTCCATCCCCCCGGCCGCGGGCACGGCCAGCGCCGCCCCGTCTCCATCCCCCCGGCCGCGGGCACGGCCAGCGCCGCCCCGTCTCCATCCCCCCGGCCGCGGGCACGGCCAGCGCCGCCCCGCTCCACCCCCGCCGCGGGCCCGCCGCCCCGTCTCCATCCCCCCGGCCGCGGGCACGGCCAGCGCCGCCCCGTCTCCATCCCCCCGGCCGCGGGCACGGCCAGCGCCGCCCCGTCTCCATCCCCCGGCCGCGGGCACGGCCAGCGCCGCCCCGTCTCCATCCCCCGGCCGCGGGCACGGCCAGCGCCGCCCCGTCTCCATCCCCCCGGCCGCGGCCAGCGCCGCCCCGTCTCCATCCCCCGCCGCGGCACGGCCAGCGCCGCCCCGTCTCCATGCCCCCGGCCGCGGGCACGGCCAGCGCCGCCCCGTCTCCATCCCCCCGGCCGCGGGCACGGCCAGCGCCGCCCCGTCTCCATCCCCCGGCCGCGGGCACGGCCAGCGCCCGCCCGCTCTCCATCCCCCGCCGGCCGCGGGCACGGCCAGCGCCGCCCCGTCTCCATCCCCCGGCCGCGGGCACGGCCGCCCCCCCCGTCTCCATCCCCCCAGCGCCGCCCCGTCTCCATCCCCCGCCGCGGGCACGGCCAGCGCCGCCCCGTCTCCATCCCCCCGGCCGCGGGCACGGCCAGCGCCGCCCCGTCTCCATGCCCCCGGCCGCGGGCATGGCCGCCCCGTCTGTTCAGGTTTGGGCATGCCCTGCGTGGCCCCACCCCCCGGCCCTGAACTCACGCGCCAGGTTGCTGCAGAACCGCCACGAGATGCTCGCCGTGGAGCCCATCAACGAGCTGCTGCGCGACAAGTGGCGGAAGTTCGGGGCCGTCTCCTTCTACATCAGCGTGATCTCCTACCTCAGCGCCATGGTCGTCTTCACCCTCGTCGCCTACCACCGCCCCATGGAGGGCACGGTGAGTCTCACGCCGCCCGGCCCGCCGGGTCCCTGGGGCTCGGGGTGGCTGCTGTGGGTCTGTGCAGGAGCAGCAGGTTCCCGCTGTTGGACTGCACGTAGAGCTGAGCTTTCTGGGCAGTCCCTTGTGGTTCCCCCAGAGCTCAGCCTGTTTAACCCCCGGGGGGTCTCCCTGCCCCCTGGGAGCTACAGCCCACGCCAGGGAGACAGCCCTGGATCCCACCTCCGGCTGCACCTCAGAGCACTGGGCCATCCGGGATCCCTGCCTGTGGCAGTGGCCAGTGCCTGACCCTGTAGAGGAAGGTGAGCCTGTCCGGGTGCCCCCGCCGGGTGTGTCCTGGGCAGCGTCTGGCTCACGGCGCCTGGGAGAGGGGAGGGCTCTCGTTTCTGCCTGGGGCAGGCTGGCCTCAGCACTGGGAGGCAGGGAGCATGGCGCTGTAGGAGGCCATAGTGCTGGGATTTGGGGGTAACGTTCTCAGCACCGGCTCATCCCTTTCCCGCTCTGCAGCCGCCGTATCCCTACACGACGACCATTGACTACCTGCGCCTGGCCGGGGAGATCATAACCCTCTTCACCGGAGTCTTGTTCTTTTTCACCAACGTAAGTGGAAACCATTCACCCCCTCGCACAAGTGCTCCCTCTGTCTCGCACGAGAGCCTCCATGCCCCTTGGCCCTCACACAAGTGTCCCCCATCCTGCCACTCTGCACGTGCACGGGTGTCTTGTCTCACACACACGCAAGGGGCAGGGCCCGACTCTGAGACCCACAAACCCCGCAACACACGCTTCCCCAAGAACAGACCACACCGACCTGCCTGGCACCGGGAGAGCTCAGTGGGCACCCACACCCTTCCCAGGAATCTCTGAGCACCCTTCCCTTGAGGGCCTGTTCTGCCAGGCCACATCTGTACTGCGTTTGGGAATTGCCCCTTGGGCTGCAGCCCTCAGACTGCTCCTGCCAGTCTCCCCAGAGCTTCCCTGGGGGACCAGGCTGGGGCAAGGCAGAGGCAGAGTGGGGTGGGGCGGTCCGTGGGGCTGGGAGCTCTGATTCAAGGTATTTAACACACCCAAAAGGGTTTTTAAAATGTCCTCTGGTTCACTGTGGGGAGCTGGCACCCTGAGGGCCCAATCCCAGCGGGTGTAAACCATGGACGCCGGCGGTGCTACGCCATGGGGCCACATCTGCTCACGCCAGCCTGGGAGGCGGCCCCTTCCTGCTGTCTGTCCCTTTTCTGAATCTCTCGTGGTGCCGGTCCTGGTCCCCACGCCCATGGGTCTGGCTTCCCTGCACAGCAGGGGAAGGGCTAAATGCAGAACGAGATGGCTTTGCCTTTACAAATTTAGGATAAAACCTAGAGCTGCCCCCATTCCTGCGGGGGTGGGTGGGGTTAGAGGCTCTTCCTTAGCACTGAGCCTTAGCACTGAGCCTCCTTCACCTCCCCTCCTCTGGGTGGAGCAGGGCCCGTCCTGCCTCCAGCCCTGTAAGGACCCTGCGGGGATGCCAGCTCCTCTTGTGATGCCCCCTGTGTGCGCCCCAGCCGGTCCCAGCCTCTGCCTCCACCGATGCGTCCGCGTCCCCCGGGTGCCGCAGTGTGCGCCCCTCCCCAAGCTCCGGCTCCACCTTCTTTTCTTTCTTCCTCAGCTAAAGGATCTGTTTATGAAGAAGTGTCCAGGGGTGAATTCGTTCTTTATAGATGGCTCCTTCCAGCTGCTCTAGTAAGTCACGATGCCCTTTGCCCACGGTGTACCCCACCCATCGCCCGTGAGACGTCATCTACCCCCCAGCTCTGGACATGCATTTGGAAGGGAAGTGCTGGTTGCAGGTGCCCGGGGGCTGGGATCAGCCGTATTGTCTCGGGGAGATGTCAGCCCAGCCTGGCGCTGATGGAGTCTCCTTGGTAGTGGACAAAAGCGCAGAGGCTCCCGGTATGCCATCTCTGGCTGGGGATCCCAATAGACACCTTGAGAGAGGAGACGGGTGTGCGAAGAAATACAGACACGATCTCCTTCCCCGGCTGCAGAACTCTCCCCAGCTTTTGCTGGATCTGCCCCCTGCGAGGGGTGCCACGTCAGAGGGGACGGCTCTGCAGCCTGACGTCCCTGCACCTGCGGGTTCACATCCCAGCAGGGATCTCCTCCTTCTGCCCTGCCCTGTGCTCTGTGTGGGTTTCTCAGATGGGAACTGAAGCTCCCAGGGCACTGCATATGGGGGTGGTGGGCTTGCTCCGGATCCCCACACAAACACTGCTGCAGCACACTGCCCGCTGTGCTCCACAGGCCCCGGGGGTCCTCGTAAGGCACGTTGGAAGTTGCTAAAGAGGCGTACCTGCCATGGGACGGTAGCCAGTCCCATTGCTCCTACGGTGCCCTGGGGCAGGACTGGCAGAGTGCAGGAGCTCGGCCCTCCTGGGCTGGTTCATTCCAGGGGGATGTTTTGATCTTGCCTTTGAATCCTCCTGCTCTTCCTCAGCTTCATCTACTCGGTGCTGGTGATTATCACAGCAGCGCTGTACCTGACGGGGATCGAAGCTTACCTGGCTGTCATGGTCTTTGCCCTGGTCCTGGGCTGGATGAACGCACTTTACTTCACCAGAGGCCTGAAACTTACAGGGACCTACAGCATCATGATTCAGAAGGTCAGGCAGAGACCAGGCCTGTGTGTGAATGGGCGTGTGTGTGTGTGATACTGTTTACTCTGGGAGCTCATCAGGGCTGGGGCTGTCTCTCACTATGTGTCCATGCAGCCCCCAGCTCAGTGGTATGATAATGCACCTAATCATGGTAACAGATGTGCCTGGGTCCAGGGTCTCCTGGTGCTTTTGCAGGTGTGTATGGAGCTTTAACCTATGTCCTGGCCAAATTCCAGCCAATCCCATTCTTCTCCCTCAGCTACCCCAGCAGTTGCAATTGGATACAGGAGTTGTCTTCATGGCCTGTCCTGAACTGCTGCATGCAAACAGAGCCTGGTGGAAGGGATGTTAAACCTCAGGCTGCAGGGATTAAGCCAATCTCTAGCTATTAGGGATTAGGATGAGACCTTCCTGGGGACAGATTAACCCAATCGACCTATGCAGGGTTCTTTTTCCTTCCTCTGAGGCATCTGGTGCTGGCCTGTCTGAGACAGGACACTTGGTTAGATGGACCTTGGGTCCAGTCCAACCTAGTAATTTCTGTGCTCCTATGGCATATCTTTGTGCTGTTAAACAGGTGTGACAGAGTGCTGAAGCCAGCACTCTGGTCACGTAAACACCAATTAATTCCCCCCAGGATGGACCTGATGGGGCCTAATTAGTGGATTAGAATGTGCTGGGAGTGGACAAATGAACGGATTGGCCCATTAACACAGAAGGTATAAGAAGGCAGAGGAAGGAAGTGCAGGGGAGAGAGTGGTAGGCTACTGTCATGGAGTCCCTGGGCGATGCTCTGGAATAGCTCCCTACGAAGCCAGTCAGGACTCTGGGGAAGTCTCCTCTCTGTGAGCAGACTGTCTTCAGGACACAAAGCTCACACAGCTTCCACCTTCCTCTGCCCCTCCGTTTGCTTCCCACAGCGAGTCTGCTCAGGCGGGGCTCCTGGGGAAGCCAGAGGGTCCTGCCCCCCAAGTTCGCAGTCAGACGTGACTCTCAGCCAGCCAGTAAAACAGAGGTTTATTAGACGACAGGAACATGGTCTAACACAGAACTTGTAGGTGGAGAGAACAGGACCCCTCAGCGGGGTCCATTTTGGGGGGCAGTGAGCCAGACAACCACGTCTGCCCTTCACTCCATTTCCCCAGCCAGCCCCAACTGACTCCCCCTCCAGCCCCTCCTCCTCTGGGCTTTGTCCCTTTCCTGGGCCAGGAGGTCACCTGATCTCTTTGTTCTCCGACCCTTTAGCTCTCACCTTGCAGGGGGGAAGGGCCAGGCCATCAGTTGCCAGGAAACAGGGTGTCGGCCATTCTCTGTGTCCAGACCCCTGCACACACCTGCCCTCTAGGGCTCTGCAATGATTGTACACCCTCATCCCACCCCCTAGAGACTTAAGAACTGCACAGGGGAAACTGAGGCACCCGCACACTATTCAGAGGAAACATTAAGAACAGTCCCGCTTCGTTACAGCTACCAGAACGGATCTGTGGATAGAGAGAGCTCTTCCCTCTCCTCAGCAGAGAACTGAGGAGAAACTAAAGCTGTAAATAATTGTGGTGTATGGGCAGGAAGGGGGTGGAAAGAGGAAAGGTAAATGAACTGCCCTGGGGTGTCTCTGAGTTTGTGTAGACAGAGCAGAAGACAGGAGTGGGACATCACCCTGTCATGGGAGGCATAATCCAGGGATGGCTGCGTTTCAGTGAAGTGGCTGCTGTGGGGCTCTCCAGGAATGTAAGGGGCTGGCTCTGATCCCAGCACAGCTAAGCTCTGCCTCTGGGATTTTTTCAGATCCTCTTCAAAGACCTTTTCCGGTTCCTCCTGGTCTACGTGCTCTTCATGATCGGCTATGCTTCAGGTAGGCGGCACGTCCGTGGGAGCTGTGGAGGGTCCTAGCTCGGTGCGTGGAGCGGGGAAAGCAGCAGGGAGCAGGATGGGCCCTGGCGTAATGCTCAGCCGAGTTGGAGAACCTCAGCCCGAGTTAAAGGGAAAACACGGCATGTTGGCACAGGCCCGTGGGAACGCAGATAGACAATGGGTTGAGTTCCGCTGGGTTTGAGGGTGGGGCGGGGGAGGAATCTCTCCAGGGTTTATTGTTCAGATCCCCTGGAACGGGAGCTGTGGGGAAATGGCTCGTGTGCCAGCGGACAGAGGCGTCGGCACAGCGTGGCCCGGGCTGTGGTATAGGAGCTGAGTGCCCCAGCTGGCCATTCATTTACCTTCCTTTGCACCCCGCGGCACTAGTGAGAGAGTTATGCAGGGAGGCCAGGGAATGCCGCCCTCGCTCTCTGACCCTGGGCTTTGGGAGCCTTCACTCTTCCACTGGGAGATGCGGGGAGCTCTCCGGGCTGGACCGGGATGAGGGCAGAGCATGGGGCCCAGGTCCCCACAGGTGCAGGCTCCCGGCAAGGCGGCGCTCGGCTAACTCTACGCAGCCTAACGAGTCATCCAGAGAGGTGGTGACCTTGACTTGGCCAGTTCTCCCAGCTAAGCCCCTGACTGAGTCCTCTCTGGATCTCACCCGTATCCCTCCCTCCTCTCCCTGGACCAGCTCTGGTCTCGCTCCTGAACCCTTGTGCCAGTGCCGAGGCCTGCAACAAAGACAAGTCCAACTGCACGGTGGCTGCCTACCCATCCTGCCGGGACAGCAAGACCTTCAGCAACTTCCTGCTGGATCTCTTCAAGCTGACCATTGGCATGGGCGACCTGGAGATGATCGAGAGCGCCAAGTACCCCGGCGTCTTCATCATCCTGCTAGTCACTTACATCATCCTCACCTTCGTGCTGCTCCTTAACATGCTGATCGCTCTGATGGGGGAGACAGTGGGGCAGGTCTCCAAGGAGAGCAAGCACATATGGAAGCTACAGGTAACGTCTGGCCAGGCCTTGGCTGCCAGGGACACCCTGTCAGGACAAATGCAGGGGGCCCGCCGAGGCCAAGTTAAGCTGCTCGCAGGCTGGCCTCCTCCCCAGAATCCTCCATGCCGACTCCATGCCCCGCCCCAGGAGAGAACGGCCATATATGAGATGCTTCTAGCGTCTACGGAGCACCCGATGTAGGTGGTGCAGTGGAGCCCTGGAGATGGGGAATAGGAGCAGCTGAGGCCTACTGCCCTCCGAGCTGCTGGTGGCCCCTGGGGTTTCAACCCCCAGGCTGAGATCCATTGCTCTATGCTGCCCAAGCTGGTGATGGCCCATCCATTAGCGTGCACGTCCTGCTGAGGACACCAGGTCCATAGCCCTGGACACTAAGGTGTCAGCCCCTATGCTAGGCTGTGTCAGCTCCTTCTTCCAGCTGGCACCTACTGGGGGTAACACAGGGGGAAGTTGTGGTGTAGAAAGGGCTCCGGCATTTTTATCGCCATGTTCCCTTCCCCTGCTCAGGGACTGGACATGGAAATGACCTGGCAGGTCCCATCTGGTCCATGACCACCTGCGTGGCCAGAGCAGGAGAGTGGCCTGTGTTCTCCTGCCCTTTGCACTCTAGACTGGGGTGTCTCCCCTGATGGAGCCTCATGGGAAGGAGGGACACTCCTGCCCTCATATACACACGCACCTTCCATCGGTTGTATCAGGTGTCACACACAGGTACCTAGGGGCAGGACTGGCCTGTGCCGCTAACCCAGGGAGATGCTGAACGAACTGAGGATGACCCTGGCTGTGGGGAGCTTGGCGTGATTGTCTGAGCCCTTTTGGGGAGCTCATGTGCCTGAGGAAGAGGTGAAATGGGTGCGAAGCTGTGGAGTTGAGTGATGCCTGCATCCCAGGGATCCTCCCTGCGGTGCGTAGCTGGCCTTAATCCCAGCAAGATCCCAGCCTGAGGGACATCCGAGGGAGTGTGTGACCACTGGGATGGGATTTCCCACAGTCCCCCCGGGCAGTTTGGTGCCCAACGCCCATTGGAAGCCAGGGGTCAGATGGCCAGCCCCCCCGTTTGGTTCCACTCTGGCTGATGGGCCTGTGTACTCCTCCCTGTGCAGTGGGCCACCACCATCCTGGACATCGAGAGGTCCTTCCCGGTGTTCCTGAGGAAAGCCTTCCGCTCGGGGGAGATGGTCACTGTGGGGAAGGGCACCGATGGCACGCCGGACCGGAGATGGTGTTTCAGGTAAGCTTGGGGGGCCAGCGGGGAATCAGCTGGCCAGTAGCTGGCCTTTGGGTTTGTGCCTCGCCAAGTGCCTTCGACCTAGGCTCAGACCCAAACCCCCTGGGAAGCCCAGACCCACCCCAGCCTTGGGCCCATCCCCACAACACCCATAAACAAACCGAACCATCGGGCTAGTTAACCTCCATCCTGAGGTCCCCCCAGCTCCAAACATGCTGCAAACTGATGGGCTCCTGCGGCTGCACTGTTAATGAAGGGCGGGGTCCTTTGCATAGCAATGAAGGCATGAGGCTGGCTCGGCTCCCAGCGGGGGCCAGTCGGTATTTAAGCAGCCAAGTAAATATGAAGGAGGGACTCTCACTCCCAGGTGTGACAGTGTTTCATGGAGTGTCTCCATTGATTCATAATTAGGCCTCGTTAGAGCCGAGTAGTTTGTACTAACCAGGAGCCAGGCAGACTGGCCTCTGCCATTCTCTGTGGGGCTGAATCACTGGTTGTCTTTCAATGGACGATACGGTGTTGCTGGTGCGGCTCGGCTGTGAGTATCGGGGCCGTCCCATGACACGGGGTGCCTCTGGCGGAGCGAGTGGGCAGAGTGAGTCCTGGGGGACCTGTAGGGAAGACAAAAGCCAGGGCCCGACTTGTCCAGAGCTCGGGAGCTGGTCTGCCAAAGGCGCTACCTGGTGCCGCTTAACTGGACGGGCGCCCCCAGCCTATCTCACCCCGACGTGCTGCATGGGAAGGCTCCAGGTCGTGGTGCTTTGGGTGAACCCAGGGGCAGGGGGCTGCATTGGGAAGAGCCGTGGTGCTAGGCTGTGCTAAATGAGTTGTGACAGGCCTGTGCCATGGCTGGGGACTCTCATGCAGCCAGCTTGCTGGCATTGGCATGTCACCCAGTGTTCATGGGCTCTCTTGAGATCACTGGGGAGCGGGGACACCTGGTGCGAGAGATTCCTGGCTCTGGTTACACCCCAGCCCCTCCCCCAGTGCCAGGCCCCATTTGCTGGACGTAGGCTGAGCCCTGCCATTTGCTAAAGGGTCTGCCAGTGCATAGGCTGCCCTGTGCCTCAGCGGGCTGCTCCAGGGGGCTGCTCTCGTCCCTGCCGCCTCCCCCACAGCAGATGCCAGCAGCCTGGGAGAGGGAAACGCAATGACTGAGTCTCCTGCTGGTCATTGCATGGACCATGCACCTACCCTTCCGCAGCTCCACTGTCCAGGGGCGCTCACTCTTATCCTGCTGCCTAGATACTGTGGCGATGGGCCCGCGTAAGAGCCTGACCAGGGCAGGACAGAACCCAGAGGAATTCCCGCTGCAGGGCGCGGGGCTGGGCTCCAGGGCTTGTCGCCCCACTTCAATTAATTGCCCTTGCCCCAGGAGTGCCTTCGTTCTCCCACAGGGTCGATGAGGTGAACTGGTCTCACTGGAACCAGAATCTGGGCATCATCAATGAGGATCCAGGCAAGAACGACACCGATCAGTATTATGGGTTCTCCCACACAGTGGGCCGGCTGCGCAGAGGTGAGCGGTGGGACAGGGGGACCCAAGGCACTGCTCTATGGGAGGGATCTGGGGTCCGGGGGTGGAGGGGGGAGTTGCCCCTTGGTGGCGCCTTTGGGATCTCATGGGAGTTAAGGAGTACCATGTGCATGTTCCTCCAAAGCGTAACCTGCTTTGTGCCCTTGGGGGAGCCTCCTTTGGCTGATCTCTAAGCGGGGGTGTTGGCAAATGGGGACATTGGGGCAGAGGCCTCCCTGCGTCCCAGCAGGCGTGAAGGACTCTGGCCGGGGGCTGGCTGGGCTCAGCAGTGCTGGCCGTGCTTCTGAAACGGGCGCGGAGATCACTGCAGGCAAAGCTGCATCCCAGCAGTGAGCGAGAGGGCTGAGGAAGCCAGCGCAGGAGCAGAGGCAGGGGGAGAGATGAGGGCTCTGTGGTGGGATGGGACGAGCCCACAGGATCCAGACTGGGGCGTGGAGGGAGTTGGAATTACCGGGCCAGGGTAACTCCCACTAAATGGCCTCTCCCCATCCCCATCCAGCAGATCGCTGGTCGAGCGTGGTGCCCCGGGTGGTGGAGCTGAATAAGAGCTCGCAGCCGGAGGAGGTGGTGGTCCCGCTGGAGAACAGGGGGATGTCCGATGGGCACGAGTGGAAGCAAGGGCATCCCTCAGGCTGGCGGAAAGAGGACTCCTACATCTAACAGTGGGCTCAGGCATGAAGGGAGAAGCCAGCGCCGGCTCTGTCCTCTGCTGCCCACCATGCACAGACCCCGGCGTGGGGCAGCGGGGCTGACGTGCACAACGCAGGCAGGAACCAACCAGCAACGGAGCTTCTGAAACAGCCTCCCTCCTGCCAGCGGCATGCAGCGCATCGCCGGAGCCCCCGGCTCTCTCCTGGAGCCCTGCGCGCAGCCCTTGGGTCTGAAAGGGCTCGTCCAGCAGGGCCCTGGCTGCCTCAGACACAGCAGTGGTGAAATAATCATTTTGCTATTGTTATTTCCAAGCGCCAAGCCTCTGGCTCCAAACCCTTTGAGCCTGACCGTCGTGACGTGCAGAGCAGGGCTGTAGAGAGAAGAGGGATTTGCAGGGAATGTTCATGAGATGCTCACGGGGCAGCATCTAACTCTGCCACCCCCAAGCCCTACGGTGTGCCCATGCCCGGCTCTCATCCTGCACATGCTGGTGTGTGTGTGCGGGGGCCCTGGTGGAGAGACCGGCCGGTGCTGAGATGTCACTTCCCGGGCACCGTGCCTGGGCTGCCCTTGGCATGCACTCCCCTTGCTGGGCAGCAGCCAGTCGGCGTGCAGAGCGTCTCAGTGGGAACGCCGTGCATACCCATGCCCTTGGCACCAGGATTCCAGCTGCATGGGGAACTGCCCAGTGCCCCTGGGGAACGAGCTCATGTGCCTAGTGAGTGTCACCAGTGAGCGTGTTGTGCACAAGGAACCCCAGTCCCAGCCTCAGCCATGCGCGGACCTCCAGGGGCACCGACATTTGCACGAGCTCCCCCAACAATCGGCTGGGGAAGGGGACACCATTGTCCAGCCGACGGACAGGAAATCTGTCTGAGCTGCCTCCTCCCAGGAGCCGGCGTTCAAGCCTGACCTTTGCTTTCTGCAAATGTCAGTGCTGGCAAACCCGACCCCAGGGGTGCCCCGGCAAAGCCAAAGCACACGCCCTGCCCAGTGGCACACCCTGGTCCCAGGGCCTAGTGCAGATCCCCCAGCCCTTTCCTAGCCAGCCCTCTTGAGAGTGGCTAGAGAACAGAGATGGGTAAGAACCACAGCCAGGGATCCAGCCTGCCCTGCACAAGCTGCGGGAGAGCCTAGAAATCAACCTGCTCAATGCAGGGATGTTCCCTACAGCGTGTTCTCCAGGCCGTAGATCAGCCTGTTTCCAATACCCTGGGCAACGGGGCTCCCTCTCTCTCCCTGCAGAGGTTGCTTTCACCTTAACGTGGCTCTCTGAAGAGCAGACCTGGACCGAGGGTCATTCACCTCCTGAATGAGGGAGGGATAGCTCAGTGGTTTGAGCATTGGCCTGCTAAACCCAGGGTTGTGAGTTCAGTCCTTGAGGGGGCCATTTAGAGATCTGGGGCAAAAAAATTGGGGATTGGTCCTGCTTTGAGCAGGGGGTTGGACTAGATGACCTCCTGAGGTCCCTTCCAACCTGGAGATTTTATGATTCTCTGTCTCAGGCAGCTCCCTCCTTCACCCTGCTCTGTGCCACAGGTACCTTGCAGGCTAATGGCACGGCTGCCCGTTTCCCTGCACAAAGTATGTTAATCAGTGATCATTTCCAGTGCTCCTTCCTGACAGAGCTAGAGTTAGAGCTGCCCCGTTTCCCTCCCTGCCTTGGCGGGACAGGGCTCCGTGCGGTGGAATCGCTGCTGTTACCCACAGGGCATCGGCTCTGTTAGCACCAAGGGGCTCATCCGTCCACGGTCTCCCCTGGCACTGAGTTCTGTGCTGACAAAGGGCCTGAAGGTATGTGCTGGGGCAGTGATGCCAGCTGTCCAGAAGCTAAGGCCACCGAAGCTGGGTGAAGAGCCAGTGAATTAGCTGCCAACAGACACAGGTTTTACAACTTTGTTTGCAATCAGCTGAGGCATGGCCCCGGCCACCATTCCTCAGCCTTAAGGCTGCTCGCTGGCTCTGCCCTGTGCCCACTGTGTCCACTACGTGCTCTTTGGAATTCCTCCTCTGTGACTGGTCACTTAAGTCACACGGCGTTGTTTCTGCTCCCTGACCGGATGGTTCCCACGCCCACGGAAATCTTCCAAGTTGGTCCTTGAATATTCAGGGGGTGAATGCCTGTGCAAATTCCTGCCATGCAGTCAGTGTGCAAAGCCATCTGTGCATAAGTACTTGTGTCCCATTTCTTCTCTTTGGAGGTGCTTGGGACCAAAATCTCACTTGTGAGAATGTTCAAGAGGAGTACAGCGGGGGGGCCGTGGACAGGCAAAGCACAATCCTGATGTTTACTCAAACGAATGTTTGTCACTGCCATTTGCCAGCCTTTGCCCCACTGTACTAGAGACGCAGGCAACTGGAGTTTGGGCCCCTTTCTACTGAACGGTGGGGCATTCCATTCAGTTCCAAATCCCGTCTGGTAAAAACCACAGGCGTTCGTGATGGAGAAGGCTTGGTAGCCCCGTTCCTTTCCCTTTGCTTTCCACTGCCAATGCAGGATTGTTCCTTGCTGCCTCAGGGATTTGTCCAGCCTCGTTGTAACCGTCTCGTGATGGACTCCCCTTGAGACGTTAGTCTCCAGACTGGTAGCTCTCCCCAGGCCAGCTCTAGCCAAGTTTCCAGCCTTAACAAGAGAGATGGGAGTCAAGTTTTAAAGAAGCCACGAGAACTAGTCTTGATGGTTCAGGTAGGAGAGTGGAAGAGCCAGTATTCTGCAGCACTGACTTTCCAGCTGGTATCTGTGACACCGGGAGAGAGACCCACCTAACCTGAGAGTAGTTTCACCAGGGAGTGATAAAGTAGCTGCTAAGCACTGCCCTCTCTCTAGCTATCGGGAGACGACTGTACCATCCGTGGGGAGGAATATTTTGCTAGTCCGAAAGGGAGCAGGAGAGATGAGAGCATTATCCATTACATCCAACAGGCCAGTGGTTGCGCCATATACATTTTTGCACAAGATTTATACAACTATTTATTTAGTAATAAAAACCAAACCACGCCCTCTGCCTCCGTGTTTTATTTGCTGATCCAGCTCTGAGAGTGTGTCCCAGGCTCCCTGGTGGCAGATGTAGAAATCTGCTGAAGGGCTAATCCCAAGGGTCAGTGTCCAAGAGATGCCAGCTCAGCTTCCTCTCTGTGGCCAGGTGAGCCTGTTGTTTGACTATCAGCTGTGAATGGGAGGTGCTGGTTTACAGGCCAAGAATCCCTTCTGTTAGCTGAACACTCTAATCTGTGAGTGGCCATCACAGATTCTATGATGTTGGCCCTTGGCCACGCATCTTTAATACAGAGCAGAAGGCAGCAGGTTTCATCCTGCAATGCACCATCTTGCTGCAGGTAGCCTGACCCTGGAGCAGTGCATACTGGGAGGCTGTAGTTCTCATGGGCCGCACCGTCATATTAAAGATGAAGTAGGATTGTGTCTCAGGCTCTGGGCAATGTGGCCCTCAGAGGGCAAAGACTGGGAGCTTCTGCAGCTCTAAGGGTTTCAGATATTGGTTCCTTGTTGTAGACCCATCTCTTCAGGCGCTCACATGGAATGGGTTCTGCTTGTGCTGTTGGACGGTGTGAGGGGAAGTCTTATTCCAGTATTCACGGGCCTTTTGCTGGCTCAGATATAATGTTCTATACGGTCTGCTTGTCCGGCTATGTGCATCAGTTCCCTGTGTCCATGATCCAATATTCCTTTGAGGTGGTAAAGGACGTGATGATCCCACTCCCGGTGAGGCTTTTCTCCTCTGGAACGAGTTGTTTTCCTGTCCCGGCACAGGGCTGGGACTAAAACGGGTTGAAATTTTGCAAATGAAAACTTTTTGTTTCGAAAAATGGCCAAAAAAGAGAGTGGTCAAAAAATCATAGAATCAGAATCATAGGACTGGAGGCGCCCTCGAGAGGTCATCTGCTCCAGTCCCCGGCACTCAGGCAGGACTAAGTATTGGCGACATTTTCCTTTTTTTTTTTTTCAGAAAAAAATTGGGGCAGGCGGGGAGGATGGTGAAAATGTTTGGAAACCGAGGGAAAATGGGTCTGTTTTGACCTTGTCACAGTGAACCCAACCTTGACACTTTTTTTCACGCGAATAGGGCTTCATTTTCTACCAGTTGTAGCTGTGGTCTCCCCTGACGAATGCACGGGAGAGACCCTGCAGGCCGTGTCATACAGAGGGGAACTGGAGAGCTTGTGGTTTAAGAAATGGCAAAATAAGCTTGCAGCTCATCCAGAGAACGTCTAGGCAGTGCCCTGTGTTAAATCCGTCCACGGGCACCCAGGGCATTTGGTGTCTGTCTCGTTCTCTTTGTAGATGAGAAGCTCCTTAGGGGCTGTCTCTTCTCCTGCGTCTTGTGTGGCACCGAGCGTGCCTCCAGCAGTCCACAAATCATGCTCATGCTAAGGGGCAGATTTACAACCAACAAATACAGTTGCAGACAGGATCATTGGTGCTCGCGTTACCTGCTGAGACATGTGCATTTAGGGTTCTGTGGTTCCCTGTGCCGCTGATGGGCCCCAGGGCAGAGCACAGCACTGCGTTCCTTACTTACACTGTTAGGTGCCAGGGAAATGCCCAGCTCATGCCTTGGCAGGCAAAATTCTTCCAGTTGGGCATTAGAGGCGCTTTTCCATGGGATCAAAACAAGGGGCTGTTCCTGGACCGGCGCTTTCTCACCCCCACTGGCTCTGTTGGCTGCCCGTAGGGCCCAGTCCCGCAGGCTGGAGCTCATTGCTCTCCTCTGTGCACAGAAAGTTGCCAGAGACTGGGCCTTAGTGTTTTCAGCATGAACATCCTTCCTCACAGCCTGTCTGCTCCCTGCCTGTGCCCTGATGCTGCATCTCTGTAGCTATGACATCACCCACCATCTGCTGGGCCCGTGATGTCACACCGCTGCAGCAGGAGGAGGAGGAGGGAGCGATGGTGTGCATGTGGGTAGCTGCAGCCACTAGCATTGTGAAAAGCAACGGCGAAGGGGATGGGCGCCTGCTGTAAGCTGAGCCATCTGAAAGTCGCTCTTCAGGCATGGCTGAGAAGATCGTGTGGCCCAGGGCATTGATGCCCCAAGGCGAGGTTGCTACGGAGGCCTGTGCTGTGGTGCGTGTGGCCTTTTTGCAATCCAACACTTCTGGTCAGGTAGCTTCTCGCATCCTTAAGAACGGCCACACTGGGTCAGATCAATGGTCCATCGAGCCTAGGATCCTGTCTTCTGACAGTGGCCAGTGCCAGGTGCTTCAGAGGGAATGAACAGAACAGGGTGATTATCGAGTGATCCATCCCCTGTCATCCAGTCCCAGCTTCTGGCAGTCAGAGGCTTAGGGACACCCAGACCATGAGGTTTTGTCCCTGACTACCTTAGCTAATAGCCATTGATGGACCTTTCCTCCATGAACTTACCAAGTCTCTTTTGAACCCCCTTCTACTTTTGGCCTTCACAACATCCCCTGGCAATGAGTTCCACAGCTTGACACTGCGTTGGGTGAAGAAATACTTCCTTCTGTTTGTTTTAAACCTACTGCTTAAGAGCCTAAGAATGGCCACACTAGATCAGTCCAAGGGTCCATCTAGCCCAGGATCCCATCTTCCGACAGCGGCCAGTGCCAGGTGGTTCAGAGGGAACAAAGAGAACAGGGCAGTTATTGAGTGATCCATCCCATTATCTAGTCCCAGCATCTGGCAGTCACAGGCTGAGCCACCCAATCATTAAGTTCATTGGGTCCCATGTTTTTGTGTTATGAGAAGGAGTAAATAACCCTTCCCGCTTCACTCGCCCTGTGTCACAACCCCCTTCCTTGTCACTTGTTGGAGATGAACAGCCCCTCATACGGCAGCTGTTCCACCCCATAATTAGCTTTGTTCCCTTCTCTGCACCTTTCCCAATTCAAATCCATCTTTACTGAGGTGGGGGACCGGCGCTGCACGCACTATTCCAGGCGTGGGCGTGCCATGGTTTGATATAGAGGCATTATGATATTTTCTGTCTTATTATCTAGCCCTTTCTTAATGGTTCCTAATGTTCTGTTTGCTTTTTTGACGGCCGCTGCACGTTGAGCGGGTGTTTTCAGAACACTATCCACGGTGAGTCCAAGACCTATCTTACCTCAGGAGCTGTGGGGAACAGGGTGAAAATCTACCATCCTCAGGGTAGAATTCTGATGGTGGCTTTGATGGGGCAGCAGGAAATTGGGGTCATGGTTTGCTGGGTGCACCAGAGACGTGGGGGGATCGCCTCCTGCCTGGCCTAGCGCTGCCTGTCCTCAGAACAGCCAGCTCCCTGAGTTGGGATGAGAACTTCAGGGTTTTTAAATTGGGCTTGAGGAAGTTATCAGGGGAATTGAGTGTAAAAAAGGAATGTAACACCCCCCCCCCCAACCCGTTGGGTTCAATCCTGCACTATTTAAGGCAATGGGCATTTTCCCATCAGTGGGAATGGCAGCAGCATCAAGCCCAGGATAAGTAGATAATCAGCAATAAACATGATGATTTTGAATCTACTGCACTGTTGAAATGACCTCTCAAGGCTCTCAGTGTGTGAGTCTTTCCCTATAGCCAGCTGCCTGGCTGAGCGAGCGCTCAGGGCTTTTCTTCCCCATCAGCTGTAAATTGTGTTACGAGGGTGAAACTTGTTCACAATCTCATTCAAATTTATTGACAGGGCAAGTTTCGACTCTTTAATTCAAGCTAGGGTCCTGGAGACTGTGATTGCAGCAGGGCGCCCTGGGTTACAGTCTGCAGCAAGGAGTGATGGTGTTGATGGATACTTTAATTAAAAGTGCGCTGTGTGCAGGGAGGAAATTAACCCCTTCCCGCAGGCTGAACTCACTGTTTCTCAGCGGAGGTTACAATAAACTCTATGTGCTGATTTGGTGCTGTCTGCGAGTGGATCGCAAAGCACTGCAGCCTGTAGCTGGGGCCTATAGCACCAGGCTGCCCTGCTGGCCCCAGCAAACCCATCCCCGTGAGCAGGGGACAGATGGGCAGGGAGCAAGTGATTGGGCTGGTGCCCCACTCAGAGGGCTGGAGTAGCACACACAGTGGGTCAGTGGAGCAGCGTGTGGCATTGGCCCATTGAAAACCTGGGGCAAACCTCTCTGGCTTGTCCCGGCCCGTGACAAGCACCTTGGGCTGGTGTGAAAAAGTGTGTGTCGGTCACCTTGCTAGTTTGGGAACATGTCTTGTTTCCTCCAGTAAGAAGTGACAAACCCAGGGGCTTGTGTAGCTTGGAAGAAGGGTGCAAATCTCTCCTGACCGCCCCCAGCAGCCAGGGAAGGGGCGACAGCCCACAAGAAAGCATGTCTCCTGCAGGCGATTTGGTGGGCAGAGCCGGCTTTATGTGACTGGGGGTGGCGGGGCACGTCCCAGGCTGGGGCATTCCCGGCCAGCTGCAGAAACGCAGGAATAAACCGGAGTGAGCAGCCTCCCCTCATGGCACCAGCCTTGCTGCGGCTCCGACGAGGTGCTCAGCTGCACAGCCACAAAGCTCCCAGCCCGCAGCGTTGGAAGCAGGGAAAGGCAGAGTGGTGCTTGGCACCTGATGCCACTGGAGGGCACCACACACCACACAACAGCAGGCTGGGCCCAGTTCACAGTTTGCGGGAATGAGCTGAAAAGAGTTGGGCTTCTTGGCCCTGCCATGTGTCTCTGTGCCCACCGGTGGGGTTCCTGCACTCCCTGGGGTCCCTCAGCCAAACACTGGCCACGTTTCCCCGGCCCAGCGTGCGGCCCAGGCCTTTAGCTCCCACCAGGTCTCCGGGATGCTGTGCCACGTCCCTGTCCTCGCCCAGGGAATTGGGGGGGGGGGGTGTCCAGCTGTGTTATGTGACCTGAGTTACATGGGGTGGGGGGTGTCTCTGTTTTGGGGTGGCCAGGCTGGGTCACATTGCACCGGGGAGTCGCGTGGCACAATGTGGGTCTCAGTGAGCTGCGCTCTGGGTTTGGTCAAACGAGAATGTTCAAAGAAGGCCTGGTCGGGGGGTGGAGGGGAACGGGGCGGTGGGGGGGGGGGGCGCGGTGG